AGGGAAAGTCATTCTTGAACACACTTGGGAAGCTGGAGGACACACAACAACTGATTCAAATCAGAATGACTGAAATGCACAACCATATATACCAAAGCCTGCTTCCTGAGTGTAGGATATTGGATCAGGGTCAGTGGATTTCAAGGGGGGGCAAGAAAGAAGCCTTGATTTTTTTCCCTTTGGCAATTTAACACAACCTTGGACTTTACTATGGAATTCTGTTAATCTTTTCCAAAAAGCAGGAGAATAGGAAAGACTACACTTTGCACTGATCATCGTGTCACAGGTTAACAGTCTGATTCAGTACATGCCTTGCACATGCCTTATGTATTAGCAGCTGGTACTAAAATATAACTTATTAGGCCAACCAAAAGCATTTCATAAATGTCAAAGTTGAAAAGAGCTGAAACTGCTTAGAAACAGGTTGTGAACAAAAGCTTTCTGCATTCAGTGCAAATACAGCAGCAAATGTCAGTTACTGCTCTGCAGTTAAGCAGAGTGTATTCAGGTATCACAAGAACTATGCAGTGTCCCAGAAGAAAAGAGTCTCTCAAATTACTTGAAGAGACGCGATTTACAAGGTGAAGAACACCCACTTTTGCTGCTAACTTCAATGACTGGCTAATAGCTTTCCATTTCTGTATGCCTCCCTGCTCCTCACATCTCCATATTCAAAGCCTTTATCATTGTATGTTCAGCAATTTGAAACACAGAACACCATCTAAATTCACCTCTGCATTAAGACACCTCAGCACTGAGCTGGGAATGTGACACTTTCTGCCATGCTATGACACAAATCTATGCTGAAAGGACAGTGGTTTTTCTTGGTATTTTCACCATGTAGCTGCCGAAGAAGATGTGGTTTAACTGTAACAGGGTATTGTTACCACTCTGAAGCCTGCATTTCTGCACTGGAAGCTCACTCCAGTTCCACACTAAATTTACTCGTGTACCACTTAAGAATCAGGATAATTGAAATGCAGCCTCGAATACAGAGTTAAGCTGTGCAGTTTCTAGCTTCTGCATCACCACAGCAGCTCTTTGTCCACCCCAGGCTCACTGTGTTTCAGGTCTTCTGGCAGCTTGTGGCAGCACATCAAGCTGCCATGCACAGTGCCTCCAAGGTCCAATAGTATATCATGTATTTTATCTTGCACTGGAACTTAATTCCTTCGGGGAATTCATTCCAGGGAACCAGGCTACTAATTCTCAAGTCTACACCATGCTTGTTAATAAACCAGTTTCCAGCAATCCCAATCCAATTGGAAAACCTGCACTGGCTCCTAATGATTTCAGTTACAACATTTCTAGCCACATGATAATCTCGGAGCCTTCCAGTTCCATGATCCAGCACCCAACTGGAGCAAACAACTCTTAGAGTGTTTCGTATCCTGAAGAAAACACGGCTGTCAACAACCTTCTATCTTCCTGGCAATCTCACTGCATTATTACTCCCCGAACCAGCCCTTGCAACATGAATTTACATCCCTTTTCCAATCTCTGTAAATCACATTCAGCCTCTGCCTTCTTCCACCCACTGATTTTAACTTGAGGATGCACTAAATAAATATGGCAACAAGTCTGCTCCTCCGCAGCACAAACCTGCCTAACTGCACACAGTCGTGTTCTCTGTGTCATCTGCTGTGACACCCAGAGCAGGTATTCTTTGCATGTCAAGATGTAATTTTAGGCCTTTCTGTTCCCCCACTTAGACACCTGCAAGTTGTTCTGTGCTATCTCTTTCCAACAGCAAATCCTCAACCAGATAACGGGTTTGATTTTCACTATATACAATATATTTTGAGTATATAATTAATACACTGTATTAATTATTCCCTTATAAACCTCTTTTTTTACTAAGGCAAATAACAAGGAAACCAACACACATAAAGACCAGTGACTTTGAAAGCCACTAGGACATATGAGGTACAGCTACTACTGGCATTAAAACATGAGTAAGAATTACAGACAAAAGACACTGCTTACTTACATGATGTATCATCTAACCACTCAATATGAGCAGGAGGATACTCCTTGAAATAGGCAAAGATGTCCTGTGTACTCATCTCATCCACTCCACAAATGTAAATTGTGTCTAGTCTCACTTTAGGAATTGCTGTAAAAAGGAAGAGATGCAAAACTGGTACTTAATCCTATAGAGGAAACTGTTGTAGTAGTAACATACAGGTTTATAAAGCAAACACTTTAAATAAGCTAAATGGAACCTGACTGAAGCAAGGTATGAAGTACACCACTCTAAAAACCACAACTTGAGTTACTCTTCCACAATGCAAAACTTCAACAAATTGAGAATTAAAAAGAGGTAACATGACAGACAAAGGTAGATGCAGGTACTACACAGCAATCAAACTGCCTTAAGAGCTTTACTACTTCTTGTATCATCTAATGAGAGCTGCTACAGACCACACAGCTCAGCAGGTCCAACTAACTGGATGCCAGAAGCCCTGATCTGCTGTGCACACCTCCTGGCTGATGTGCTTCTATTCCAACATGCCCAGCTTGCCATCTGAGGGCACGTGTACAATCAGCCCAGCTTCACTGTGTGCACAGCACAGAAGCTGATCTCGCTGTGCACAGGACACTGTGTGCTTCACTTGTACACACAAACAGTGCTCAAGGTCTGGCCTTTTCACAGAATTTAAAGGTTCTTAAAGCAGCACTGAGCCAGATGAATCCTGGACATGCAGCACATGGGCAACGGTAAAGAAGGAACTGTCATCTTCTTTCTGGGGCTCGTAGAACAAGGAGTGAACTGAGAACAGTCAAATAGCTTAGAAACCAACAACACTAAAATGAAAAGGCGAAAAAAGCCAGAAGTGACTTCTTTTGGCAATGATCTGGGAAAACCTCTAGGGATGTAAGGAATATTACAGGACAAATCAAGAAATGAACTGTGAGGAAGTAAGCAAAGGCATCTTTTCTTCTTGGCTGCTGGATAAACTCCTACCTTTCTTCATCATGTCCCGATCCAGCGCCACATTCCTTTGGGCAAGATTCACTTCAGCTCGAAAATGAAAGCGCTTTGCTCTTTGTTCCTTCTTCTCAATGGCTTCCTGCAAAATGCACAACAATACACTCAAAACAGGAATCTCAGCAGCATTCCTGACAAGCAGCACTGAAGGACCAGGTATTTGGAACAGAAAGTACCAGACAGCAACAATCTGCATTAAGTCTGTTCATTCTGAAGAGACCTGCAAGGTTCAGAGCATAGAAGTAGTTCACTAAAAAACATCTCTGTGCCACTTAATAGCTTCAATGTAGGACTAGCAACATAATGGGAATTAGGATGCATGGAAAACAAGGCATCTTGGACAGTGCTCAAGCTCTCAAGCTCCATGATGGAACAGTAACATTATCTTCTCTTTCCTAACAGATGTACAGAGGCTGTGCTCAAAAATAAAAGCTCACTTAAAACAAGCATTTCCACCATGTGGAGAATTAATCTTTTAAGATTACAGAGATTTTTCCCTGTTTTTTATCTATATACAGAATAAAGACTTCTCTCTCTTCACATGGATTTAGCAACACAAGCTGGAGTGCTGCCTATCGACATCTTTAGACTGGCAATTCAGGCTGCTTTAAACAGCTCATGAGCAACAGCTTACGTAGATCTTGTGCAAGTTCTGCAACCAACTGAGAAGCTCCTTGTTCTGCAGAATTCCTCAGGAAGCTTTATAAGATTTGGGATCTTACTAACCAAAGTCAAACCTGGAACACAAGCTGTGCTCGAGGAGAACCTGCCACCAATTACAGCCAAATAAACAGAGTTTTCAGCAGTTCTTAAAGGTTGCCACAACAGCTTTGGCCACATTTCTTTCAGTGTTTTTCAGAGCTGCACCATTGAAGGACATAACAAAAGATGACAGCTTGCTCCTGACTTGGGGAACTGCAAATCCCTTACTGAATTACAGAGCACACAAGCTACTGAAGCCAAAAAGCTGATTTTCAGTCTTCATCCGCAACCCTTTTGTACTCTTTGATAAGCTCAAGCTTCACTAATGCAAAATGGGAATATGTGATTTGTCAGCACTCTGCTGTGGTGGAGATTCATATTGATTAGAACCTGTGAAATTGTATCAGTCCTGTAAAGTATAGGACTAAATTCCTTTTCTCCACTACTAGATATAGTGGTCAATTGTACAGTGTGACACAGCCAAGCCACTATTAAACGTACAGAGATGAGCTGAAGGATTAAGTTTCTGAAGTTCCATGGAATTACGCAACTTTCAGTTATTTCACTGCAACAGCTGCTCACATTCTTCAAGCTGTGTCTTAAATAATTAAACAAGAAGATGCCCTTGGAAGATACACAGCAATGAAACTTGATTTTCCTGCCAAGCACTTGTTCTTCCTTCTGTCATGCTCCCAAGAGGAAAAGCCACAGCTGACTTGTCTCAAAGGGTTTGGCTTTGCAGTATCGAGTGGCACTGAGGGAGTTGCAACAGAATCATTGTCAGGTCTTGGCACACAAACTTTGGTGACTTAAAAACACCAGTTCTCCTAAGTTTACAAAAGAGATCAGGTCCTGATGCAGGCCACAGCCAACAAAAGGAGAATTCATTCCCTAGGTGTTGAAAACTGCAGCTCTCTGAACATGAGGCTAAGCTCTTGTTCCTGTTGGGGAGGAAATAAATGAAATGGTTCCTCCTTTCCAGAAGCAATAATTAGAACATGCTGAAGTATGTTGAAGAACCCCAGCACAGGAATTACCTTGGAGGTTACATCTATTCCAGTAATGAAACTTCCAGCTTTGTTTTCATATCTCCTACTTGTGTCCTGAAACAAAGGGAAACGGTGATGAAATCTCAGTGAACACTGAAAGCAACATATTTGCTATGCTGAAAATAACCAAATCTGGCCATTTCTAGGAGAAATACATCCTCTCTTCCTTGAGCCTCTCTCCAAGTGCCACCTTTAGACAGGAAGGTCCAAGACCTTGCTGATGTCAATGAAGATAAAAGCATATGAGCTGAACAAAACTTCTTTTACTATAGGGATTCTTTCCTTTGACACAGTCTAGTTTCTGTGTGTGCTGCTGCAAAGGTTTTTACTTGCTCTCAGCAACGCAGGGGAAGTCATCAAACACATTTCCTAACTAAAACTCCCACAGTGTTGGCTTCAGATGCAATTTCCTTGTAAAACACAAACAGATTCATCAGTGACACCCAACTCCTGAAGTGTCAGTTTGCAGCTTTTAGTCTCAAAAGTCCAACCAAGACACGACCACCCTTAAACAAGTAACTTGTTACTCCTGTCATTATTCCAAACCCAATCTCCAAATACCAGCAAGACCCAAGGTTACTGTTTTGATACAACCCAACCGATAAAGAGCAAAACCAGAGAATGCTGAGTTCACTAAACCACAGTGACCCTGGACCAATGACCCAATTCTGTCCCTTCCCTTGTTTGTCTGTGTAAAAATGGCACCTCTTCACCCCGGCACCCTCAGGACCACCAACTAGCAAAAGTGTGGAGCTGGAAGGACATATCTTGCTTTCTTTAGGAGTGAATATGTTCTTTACATTTGTGCTGCAATAGTTATTTTGGCTAAAGGTCTTTTTCTCTAGAAAGTAGGCCAGTCCCAGTTTAGAAATACCAAAGGACACACCATGTAACTGCTTTTCTTAGTAGCAGCAGCAAAGTTTGTCTAAAGTTGCCAAATGTTTGGTTATTTCAAAGAAAAAGCAAAGTAAACAGTATTTTTAAAGTTAAAAACTCTACTGTCTAGGGTTGCCTCATGGAGCATGAGGAAATACAAAAGGGTGCTGTCTCTTAGGCCACTTTTGTGGTAGATGCTCAAGCCTGGTGGCAGATCAGCTAATTAGAGATTAGTTGGTAAAGTAATTCCCACTCAAGTTTTGAGAGCAAAAGACTAGCGGGGAGTTTAGAAGAACTCTGACCCATTTTTAGGTATTAAACCTAATCCTACTAAAACTTATATAGGAGCAATTAAGGACAATGAAGAAAATGGGAAGGAAATGGAAAGGAAACCCTCAACCCCCACTCATCAGAGCCCCCGTTCCCAGTGCCTCCACCTCAGGTCTCCCATTGCCACCCCTTGCTCTAGGTGTTCCCTGAGCACTTTCTACACTCTCCCACCCAC